ATAGGATAGGATAGGATATCATAGGATAGGATAGGATAGCATAGGATAGGATAGGATAGGATAGGATAGGATAGGACAGGCGAGTCTGATTCTGGAATCTTTACTTCTTTGCTTCATGACCTCCTACTGATGGAGTGCCTTGTCCAAATTTAAATGGCCAATTACTGGGGCAACCTGAACTAGTATGCAAATGTGCCCACTCCCAGGCTAGTATATTCTCAGTGTGCTTTCGGCTATTTAATACTGCACTGCTATTTGGAATGCAGGAGGTTATATATTATGGAAACACTAGTATTTAAATGTCTTTATTTCTTCTATTAATATTATTCCTGGCCTTTGCAACTTCTATTGTACCCACAAAAAAAGAAAAGTACTAATAAACAACTTTTGAAGATGCCCACACCAGACTCCCAAGGCTGTTTAATTTTTTGGGGAAAAATTGACAGAGGGCCCTTCTCCTGATGTCAAAATTTGTTATGTATGCTCATACTTCATTTTACCTTTCCCTAGAAAGCTGTGAGATAGAATCATTCTCATTTTACAACAAAGAAAATAAAGTAAAGTCATCTGCATTGTGTCAGACAATGACTGCACATCAGGGTCAGAATAATTTTGGGGGTTCCACTGTACTTCTCATATCACCCTCCAAACCCCACACGACACAGGTGTGTAGCAGAACCCAACCCAGGTTCTACAGCTGTGAGCATGATCCACCTTCCTCAACCAAGAGAAGGAATATTCCCTTCACACTGGTCCCTGGGCAATTCCTTGAAATGATATACTTTTTTTCTTTTTCCTCTTGAAATTGTACCCCAACAAGTTAAAGAGACAAATAACTAAAGGAAATTCTTGAGTTTGGAGGATGGCAGATAAGAAAAGAAATAACTTGCTGAAACACTGAAACTCTCTCTGCTTATGAGAGTAAAAAAAAACTGGCTGAAATATGTTGGAACCAAGATGGCTGACTGGAGTCTGCACAGAACAAGCTTGCTGATGTCATAGCCTGAATTTCTACCACATTTCATACCAGCTCCCCTGGAATTTGCACATGCTACCCCTGACGCAGCATAAAGAGATAACTGTACATGCCCAAGGACTTTCCAGATCTCCCCCCCTTTCTTTCCACCGATTACCTACTAATCTCAGAATTTACCCCTGACATTTTCTAATAAAAATACTGCTTGGAAGCCAACAGAGGGAGACAGATTTGAGCTTGACTCCTAACTCCTTGTGAGCTGACTTGCAATATAAAGCTTTTCTTGGCCAGGCAGAGAGGCTCACACCTGAATCCCAGCACTTTGGGAGACTGAAGGAAGAGGCTCACTTGAGCCATGTGTTGGAGGTTCCAGCCTGGATGAAACAAGACCAGAGCTAGACCGTCTCTTTTTTAAAAATAAAGCTTTTCTTTTCTCAAAAACCTGGTGTTACAGTATACGCATCAGACAGCAAGCTCTTTGGCTTGGAAACACTTTTTTCTTTATAAAGTACATTTTTATAATCTGTTTTGATTTGTGCTATCAGTTGATAACTCCCTTCTCTGGCTACTCTATGTGTTTGCCTGACTTCCCCCACGTGCCTTCCTATCTGTTGCTTTCCTATAACCAACAAAGGGGCTCAGCTGCCTCATCTGTGTCTGTCTGAAACTTTCCATTAAGAGAGAAGCAGTCATAGGCTGGGTGTAGTGGCTCATACCTGTAATCCCAGCACTTTGGGAGGCTGAGGCAAGTGGATCACTTGAGGTCGGGAGTTCAAGACAAGCCTGACCAACATGGAGAAACCTCATCTCTCCTAAAAATCCAAAATTAGCTGGGCGTGGTGGCGCATACCTGTAATCCCAGCTACTTAGGAGGCTGAGGCAGGAGAATCGCTTGAATCCAGGAGGCTGAGGTTGCAGTGAGCTAAGATCGCACCACTGCACTCCAACCTGGGCAACAGAAGCAAAACTCCGTCTCAAATAAAAAAGGGAGAGAGAGAGGAGAGAAGCAGTCAGAGTGGCAGGCTATGTCAGCAGTCCTCAGAAAGGACAGCACACGGGCCAGGCTGCTCTGTTCCCACACAACAGATCACGACTTCAGCTGCATTTCTAAAACTAGCGCACAACACACTTCCACTGATTATATGGATATACCTACCCCAAGCAAATTTCAATTCATAAACAAACCGGAGACGTATTATCTAAAGGGTGTGTTTCTACAAAGCCATTTCAAGAAAAATAGAATAAAGGCTTTATTTATTTGTATTTAACAAATGACACCACATTACCTTCAGGGTGGGAACAGCTTCTGCAAGCATTAAAGGGAAGAGAAAAAGTTAGAAGTGCCGCCTCAGTTTCTTGGCAATATTGAGGTCCAGATATTCATCTAGAAAGCTGTTTGCAATTCCCAGGGCACCTAGGAAGGTCAACAAGGCCAAAATCCCCAAACTCGATCGGAAACCAGTGATCCTGCAGGATGGACATAAGGGAGAAAAGTGACAAACTGGGCTGTAATGAGGAAGCTGAGAGCCCTGAAATAGGCTGCCCTATCGTTGACTCTGCCCAGAACTTCTATATTTTTGCAATTTGAAAATTCTGGCTCATCACATAAATTAAAGAGAATGTCTAGCCATGGGGATCACTTGGTTTCTTTGAACATTCAAAGCATCATCATGGCCAGGCAGGATGACTTCCTCGGTAACTTTCTGGATATTATGCAAAATTTTTGCAAGGATCTAGAGTGCACATTCATTGCCCAGTTTTATACTTGCATTTTCCCATCTTATGCCTAAATGTGCATGGCTTGGCAAGACTTGGCCTCAGGCAGCATGGGTTACTTTTGCCACCACAACTCTCAGTGCTGTTAATATATCTCAGGAGAAAAAACTGACCCAGACCCTATCCTGCTACTTTTTGCAAAAATACACAATTATGGGGTTCTCCTTACCTTTTTTTAGCAGCTTCTGAATATCCCCAGAAGTATAAGTGACGGCTATATATGTACCCCAGACCCAGACAAGTAGCAAAAACTGTAGGGGGGAGAAAAAAAAAGGAAAAGTACAAAATACAACAGCAGTCTCCTTAAGCTGTTGTATGAAGACAAAATATTCACAAAACATATATCTGACAAAATACTTGTATTCAGAATATAGAGAGAATTCACCTAGGAAGAAAAACAAGTGTGCCAAAAATCACAAGAAAAATGTTTCAACGTGATTCAATATCAACAAATTCCCACTTAAAACTGTAATGAGGCTGAACACGGTGGCTCACGCCTGTAATCTTAGCACTTGGGAGGCCATGGCGAGTGGATCGCTTGAGGTCAGGAGTTCGAGAACATCCTGGCCAACATGGTGAAACCCTGTGTCTACTAAAAATACAAAAATTAGCTGGGCATGGTGGCATGCACCTGTAATCCCAGCTACTCAGGAGGCTGAGGCAGGAGAATCACTTGAACACAGGAGGCAGAGGTTGCAGTAAGTCAAGATCATGCCACTGCACTCCAGCCTGGGCAACAAATTGAGGCTCCGTCTAAAAAAAAAAAAAAAATCTGTAATGAAATGGCACCATCACGCATCCACCAGAATGGCTAAAATTGTAAAAATCTAACCAACCAACAAACAAAAACATCACAAAATGCTGGTGAGGATGTGGAGCAATTGGAATCCTCATACATCATTGGCAGGAATGCAAAATAGTACCACCACTTTGGGAAAAGTTCTGGTAGTTCCTTATAAAATGAAGCATACCATTTGATTCAGCAATCTCATTCCTATGCATTTACCCAAGATAAATGAAAACACATGTTCATAAAAGGACTTGTTTAAGAATGTTAATTGCAGCTTTATTCACAATAGCCAAAAACTGGAAGCAGCCCAGAAGTCTATCGATAGGAAAATGAATAACCAAGCTGTGATAGAGTCTATTCAATGGAATGCTACTCAGCCATGAAACAAAACAGATACATGCAACACAGTGAATCTACTAAAAACATTTTGCTGAGTGAGTGGAGCATTCCAAAGGCTACATACTGCATGATTCCAATTACATGAAGTTCTAGAATGGACAATATTAAATGATGAAAAAAATCAGAAGTGCTTCCATCTGGAAGGGAGTGAGAATGGGGCCTGACTGGGAGAAGCAGGAGGATATTTTCCGGTTGGTTGTCATGTTCTAGATCTTTTTTTTCTTTCTTTTTTGAGACAGAGTCTTGTTCTGTCGCCACGCATCAGGCTGGAGTGCAGTGGCACAATCTCGGCTCACTGCAATCTCTGCCTCCTGGGTTCAAGTAATTCTCCTGCCTCAGCCTCCCGAGTAGCTGAGACTACAGGTGCGCAGCACCACTCCCTTTTAGTAGAGACAGGGTTTCACCATGTTGGCCAGGATGGTCTTGATCTCTTGACCTTGTGATCCGCCTGCCTCGGCCTCCCCAAGTGCTGGGATTACAGGCATGAGTCACTGCGCCCGGCCACGTTCTCGATCTTGAGAGAGGTTTAGACCACACAGGTATGTGTACTTCACAAAATTCATTGAAGATTTATGCATTTTATTATATATAAATTTTATCTCAAAAAGAAATGTGAAATATAGTATGATGATGTTCTATCATCCCATTCAGTGAAAAATATCAATGTCTTCCCTAGGTTAGGGCCCCACTGTCTTCCTCAGCACCTCACAGATGTACATTGCCAGAGCCCTATTGTAAACATTTGGAGTGTGGGACTGTGATATGTTAGATTGAATTAAATCTATTATTTTACTTGGCCACAAGATTTTTTTTTTTCTTGAGACAGGGTCTTGCTCTGTCACCCAGGCAGGAATATGTGGCATGATCATGACTCACTACAGCCTTGACCTCCCAGGCTCAAGCGATCCTCCCACCTCAGCCTCCTAATTAGCTGGGACCACAGGCATATGCCACCACATCTGTCCAATTTTTTTAACTTTTTTGTAGAGACAAGGCCTCTCTATGTTGCCCAGGCTAGTCTCGAACTTCTGGGCTCAAGCCATCCTCCTGTCTTGGCCTCCCAAAGTGCTAGGATTACAGATGTGAACCACCACATCCGGCTCCATGTCTACCATAAACCAAGTATTACTTTAAGAATTGAGGTTGGCAGGCCGGGCGCGGTGGCTCAAGCCTGTAATCCCAGCACTTTGGGAGGCCGAGGCGGGTGGATCACGAGGTCAAGAGATCGAGACCATCCTGGT